CTCGATGACGGGGGGCGGGGGAGGAGTATGCAGCAGTAGCAGGTGGCCAGAGTTTGTTTGTTTGCCGCGACAATTTCCCAAGCTCCATTATCGCTCGTATAATCGCGATTCCACGTGTAATCGCACGTATGACTGTTCGTCGATTGGGGTCCATTGCGTTCGAAGCGAAAGCGTTTCAGCCCTTGGGGCGGCCGATGATTGCTCGCGCGCTATTGTAAGACACAGCCTGATACCCGTTTCGTGTCGTTCGATCGGATAATCGAGCGGGTAAACAGGTTCTTTGCGGGATTCCACGTGTTTATTGTCGGTGATTAAGTTTTCGGTCAACCCTTTTGTCTGCGCGAGTGTCGGTGGGATTGCAATGAATATTTGCGTTGTTGGCGATCGTGGGATGGAATCAGGAGAGAATTTTGAATTTTAGGTAATTTTTAATTGTGGAATAGTAGGAATCTTTGTTTCGTGATATTTATGATTAAGAAGAATTAGAAAAATTTTGAGGAATGATAATTGAATCGAAGTATCACGCGTGATTGTCCTAATAATTTAATTAGTAATTATTCAAAATTGTTTTCTTGTGAAAACAGATTAATGGAAAGATCGATTCGATTAAAAATTTGTGTATATCCTTTTATTTTTGTTGACTCTTCAAAAGAAGTATTTTTACCAAATTAATCTTTCCTTTTCATCGTCGTCCAAAAAATGAATTCTTCTAAAAAGAAAAAGAAACCCATTCCTGTCTTATTTTGATAGCAAAATTCTTCAATAGAATAACGTGTATCTCGATCATTTCCAAATTCATCACGCGCAATACCTGTTCGCCAAACTCGGCGGCTATTCGATAAAAATCGATTTTCGCTCTTAATTTTCACGAGCATTGTTCCCTGAATGCGATCACATCGACGATTAAAGAATCAAGGGAAAGGGGAGAAAAATCGTGGCGGATGTCCTCCTTACTTCTTCTCCCTTTTTATCTCGGCAGATGCTCATCAGAGTCTTTCTTTTTGTCTCTCTTCTTTCCCCCCATTTCTCTCTCTTTCTTCATTGTTTATACCTACCTGAATCGAGGCTGTTTTTCTTTTTTTTTTTTTTTTTATTTCGTTCGAGAGACGAGAGATTATTTTGTCTCGAGCGTTTCGATTGATATTTCCAATGGTTTTTCACGGAAAATGGAGGGATATCATCATTATATGTTTTCTCGAGTGGAGAAAAAACTGGTGGCCCAAAAAAAGCATTCTTCTCATTGACGAAAAACTTTCTTTCTTAAATTTAATCTTTCTTAAACGTCTAAATTAAATATAAGTTTCCAAATTTATTTATAATGTTGTTCCAACTTTTAATACGTTTAAATTAATTGTTTCTTCGTTTATTATTTCACACAACACTTTTCTCTAAACTTTTTCACGGATAAAAGGTATACATAAGTTTTCTTTTTTTTTTTAGCACGATTCATAATTCTAGAATTATCGTGATAAATCACGCTTACTAACTTAAGGTTACGCATGAATTTGCTAATCCTATCATCCTAATATCCTGTAAATAGGATCAGAATGAAAAATAGACAGACACCTGTGGTATCTTTACAGAAAAATTCGTGGCACGTCGATAAATCTATTTTCAATTTTTTTTTTCTTTTTTTTTAAACAAACGTTTCTTCGTCGAGTACCGTAATAGCACTTTCGAACGTTCACATTTTTTTTTCCTTATCTTATCTTATCTATCTATATTAATTTTCTATATTATTTCTACACATTCGTCACCCATTCATTCATACATATACATATATATATATATATAAAAAGATAAATACAATAATCTTCGCCTGATCAATCGAAATAGAAATACGATAGATGCTTCTTAAATCCATTTAATTATCCTCCAACTAATCTCAGTAAATCTTAGAATTTTATATTTTTCAGATGCAAATCTCTATATCATCCCATTACATACCATACACATACCATATCGTTCGAAGATCATTGCAAAAGGTTAGAGTGAAGATTGAAGATGAAGATCGCGCGAGGATCACACGCATAGATCGTCACACAAAGTCTCATGATGAGAAGTCAAGCTTATTTAAAAATCGGTTCGAGATTTCATTAATTAGTGATTAACCTTACGCTTTCCACTAATCCAATCCGCCCATTCCAGGGTGTCTTCGTACCCATCTTTGCTCACGAAGAGGAATCGACGAAATCTCGAAGCACTCCCCTCCCTCCCTCATTTTCGCCTGACGAAGATGTTTTCCAACAGCTCCTTGGTGATGAGGCGGTGGGGCCTGGTCGGGCTCTCCGTGGGCCTTCCGTACAATCTGCTGTTGATGGCGTACAGTTTAGGGCTCAACTCGCATCTGACGTTGAACCACCAATCGCACACGAACACTGCCTGGCTGAATTGCGTGCCGTTCGGGCACAGGAACGTTGCTTGGCGTCCGTCTATGTCGCAATAATGCCACGCCTGGCATCTCGTCTCCACGTCCGCGAAGAAGCCTGGATAGGGTTGGTCGTCGCAGTAGAAATTCGTGTAAGGCACCTTGCCCAACACGGGATAATCGGTGCCAGCTCGACCTGCAAGCAGAAGAAGAGAATTTTTGATAAGTTAGTTCGTTTCTTCTTCGAGTTCTTGGAAATTTTCGTTCAGATATAAATTCGTTTCTTCTTCGAGTTTTTGGAAATTTTCATTTTCAAGAGTATTGGATGAACTAGGGGAAGATTTTAAACGTAATTCTAAGAGAGAATCGGTATTTAGGGATTTACAAGCTCGAGAATTTTCGAGAATTTTGCATAGGATAATCGGTGTCAATTCGATCTGCAAGTAGAAGGAGAGAAATTTCGTTCAGATATTAGTTTGTTTCTTCTTCGAGTTTTTGGAAATTTTCGTTCAGATATTAGTTCGTTTCTTCTTCGAGTTTTTGGAAATTTTCATTTTCAAGAGTATTGGATGAACTAGGGGAAGATTTTAAACGTAACTCTAAGAGAGAATCGTTACTTAGGGATTTACGAGGTCGAGAATTTTCGAGAGATTCGTGTAAGGCATAGGATAATCGGTTCCAGCTCGACCTGTAAGAAGGAAAGAGTTTTCATTCAGATATTAGTTCGTTTCTTTTTCGGGTTTTTGGAAATTTTCATTTTCAAGAGTATTGGATGAACTAGGGGACGATTTTAAACGTAACTCTAAGAGAGAATCGTTACTTAGGGATTTACGAGGTCGAGAATTTTCGAGAGATTCGTGTAAGGCATAGGATAATCGGTTCCAGCTCGACCTGTAAGAAGGAAAGAGTTTTCATTCAGATATTAGTTCGTTTCTTTTTCGGGTTTTTGGAAATTTTCATTTTCAAGAGTATTGGATGAACTAGGGGACGATTTTAAACGTAACTCTAAGAGAGAATCGTTACTTAGGGATTTACAAGCTCGAGAATTTTCGAGAATTTTCGAGAAATTCATGTAAGCTCGACTTGCAAGCAAAAGGAAAGAATTTTCATTCAGATTGTTCTTCTTCGAGTTTTTGGAAATTTCCATTTTCCTAAGAATTGTATGAACTAGGAAAAGATTTTAAACGTAACTCTAAGAGAGAATCGTTACTTAGGGATTTACAAGCTTGACAAATTTTCGAGAATTCTTTCTCGAAAGAATTGGAAATTGAAGAAGGGATACCACGAACGAAAAATATGTCGTCTAAAAATATTCTTAAACACCTTCGATATCCTCCTCGAATATCCACTTCGCACAGAGTCCACTCTTTGAAACCCTTATTATCGTAACATTTTCACGATGAGTTTCGCGTTGGAAATCTCGTTTAATCGAAGCGTGCACAAGATGCAAGGAGGATTTCGTGGGAAGAGGGGGGTTATACGAGCGGGGAAACAGAGAGAAGCTATCATCCAGGTAACCGACCCACCCTCCCCTCCTCCCAGAAACCACTCGCCTGATTTCCACGGTTGAAGCTCTCTCGCCGCCGAGAGAGAAGCTGCCTCTCGATTGTATGCTCGATTAATCGGTGAAAGTGGCGCGAGATGCGCCGACTGACACCCGCACAAAGCAGCCATCTCACCACCTCGGCTATACATCGACGTGTGCATCGTCGATTGCCAACCACCCACGCGTCCGCTGCTTGCTCGCTTGCTCGTTCCACGAGCTGTTTACAGGGACAACGTGGCTGCTTTAATCGTGGAGGATCATCGCTGGAGATGATACCTGTTCGTCGAGGAAATTGGGAATATTTTCTTTTCGAACGGTTACGAGAGAATTTTCTGAATGTAAAGAAATAGAAGAAGAACGCTTTCGAAGTATCGAAGTGTATTATTCGTCGACTTTAAAAAAAAAATAAAGAAACATAGAGGCACTGTGACGGTGAGATTTCATCACAGAATTCCATAAATAAAAATAAAAGAGGGAAATGATTAATTGGAATTCGAAGAATGCACCGTGAAGTCGTTCCACGGGCACCTGGAGTTTAAGAATCACAGGTTAAAGGTGGAAAAGAAGGGGTGAGAGTTTGGAGAAGCATCTATCTGAGGAGCACAACGAGTGACCCGCATAAAGAAGGAAATTGCTGTTCAGAGTCTTCAGTCTCGAATTGCCGGCCCGGAATAAATAAGCAAAACTCGTGGTGCACGCGAATCAAAGCTTGCACCACGCTTTCGTTCCCCTTCTTGTCCATTCTCGAAACAAATTCCTTCTAACGAGATACACACCTTTCCTCCTCTTCGCGACACGCCTCGTATTCTGAACGATAGAAGCAAGATTTTCATCACAATTTTTATCTTGTAGAAACTGCATAGAAACCTTACTAAACCAATTATCCAATTATTTTTAAAAGGTTAATAAAATATAATTAGAAATTTTCTTAGAAAAAAATGGAGCGATTCATTCTTTGGACATCGTTCCATTTAATGGAAATTTTTAAAAAAGGAAGATTCGATTAATTTTTGAATAACTTCTTCCTCCTCTCCGTATAATTATTTTTTAATCTTCATCGTGTCGATTTTGCTCGAGCATAAGAAAGGAGAACCTCCTCCTTCTCCCTCTCCTCCAGGATTATTACCTTTCGCCAAATATAATGTAACGATGCGGCTGGCAATAACGTTTACCTCTCCGTAACCAGAGGTATCCATTAACGATATAATACCAGGGGATTTGATCGATTCGAGACGGTCGTAATGGGACATGAATCGTTCCAGGATCACCGGATGTTGCACGAGTCTTCGAGCCTCTCCTTCCGTATCGATGACGATACCGGGTAAACCGTTTGTCCAATGCTCTATCCGTTACGTCGCAAGATCGAGTTAATGGCTGAGTGTGTATTGTGCATGGACAATCCTGTTCGCGATTTATCGGATCGGAAATGCTTATAATGCTATTAGCGCAAATCGAATCGTTTACTCGATCGTTCCTCCGAGGGGAATTCTTGACATTTTCTTCTCCTCGTACGTTTTCTTTTTTTTTTTTTTTTTTTTTTTAAGAAACTTCAATAATTCTTCACAAAGTTACGTAAGTTCGAATTTTTTTTTTTTCTACAAATTACTCTAATCAAGTAATAAAGATATATACAATTTCTTTTTCTCACAAAAAATTCCCCAGAAAAAAAGAGACCAGTACACGTAAGAAGGATTTACCTCTCCTCCATCAATGGAAATTGAATCAGAAATTGATCACAGAGGATCCCTCTCCGTGTATAACACGAAGCTCCTTTAACGAATTATAACCACGCGAGCTTTTCTTCCTCCCCGTTGTCCGTCTGAACAACTTTGCGTCACCTCCACTATATATATATATATATCTATCTTTCACCCCCTCCACCTATTCGAATCTCATTCGACGAGCCAGCATAGTTTCAGGTGGCACATCTCGCTTGTCGGAATATACATATACGCTTGTTGTTCAACAATCCGTCCAACAGAGACGGATAGAGAGCACGAGCGACGAGCTATAACGCGTGCTGCTATATACGTATATATATATATATACACGCGAAACAGAGAAAGATAGGCGATACAGTCTCCGAGCGGAAGAGTGAGAGAGAGAGAGAAGGTCTATAGAGATGGGAACGTGCACTTTCCAAGCATGGTCGCAAACTCTCGTCCGTATCGCGGTGACATCCATACGAAATTCCCGCCTTCCACCCCTTGTCCGACCTGTTTTGTCACCGTGCAAGAGGTCCCGTGCACCCGCACGGAATAAACCCTCCCCTCTCTTTCTCGCCTCTGATCCTCTCCCTTTTCAATCGTCCCTCCGCTTCGCCACCTTTGTCTCCTTCTCTCTTTATATATATATATATGTATATTATGTGTGTGTGTGTGATTGTCTATAGGATTTTCTATCTCTGTTCAACCTAGACTGTCTCTCGTTGGATGCGACGCGAGCATACCGCCGTCCAGGTAATTATAACTTCGCGAAATGTATTCTCGTGCCCCGGCTTTTCATCCCTTGCGACGAGGAGGCGACGATCGTTCTAATTATTTCGTTCCTTCGAGGACGGGGGGAGGGGAAGGAAAGGTGGTGCGAGGATTTTGTAGGATTTTTATTTATTTGTTTATTTTTTTTTTTTTTTTAGAATACTGTTTGGAGATTTTGGAGGGGAGGAGGTTTAGTTAGGTCAGTCACGTGGAAATTTTTGGGAAAGATCGGAGGGTTTGATGAAAAAATCGTGGATAAAATTGAATATTGGTGAAAAGTTTCAGTTTTATTTGCACGAAGTGGAGGGGATGAAAGGATAGAAGGATAGATATTTCGTTTTTTAGGTCCGTTGTCTGGAGAATTTTTAGAGATTATTGTGTGTGAGATTAGTTTTTTTAGGAGGAATAAAAAAAGGAGAAAGAAAATTGGCAAAGTTATCGGGAAGGAAAAGAGGAGAGGCCACAAAGGATTCGCCATTTGCTGACGTATCCGCCATCTTGAGGAGAGTTCCGCCATTTGAATAGCAAATTCTATCGCGTGTTCTATCGCATAATGGAGATGAATTTTACTTTGTAACGTAAAAACGGCACGATATCCTACGCGGTCACTTAAAATGCATCAAAATATTTTGTTCAGAAAGCTGCTGCTTCCACTTCTTTCTTCTTTCTGCTGCAGAAAAATTACACTTCTTTTTTTTATTTCTGTTCAAGGGTTTTGGTTAAAGGCAAAGGTATGCAAAAATGTTAGATTAAAAGTTTCGTGGGATTTGTATTGTATTGTACGAATATTAAATTAATAGAATCGTTCAAAATTTAGTTCAACAATGTTCACGATATTGATTTTCTGGAATAATAATTAATTCGTTTTTTTAATCTCTCTTTTCGAGTATCATTTTATATCAAAAAATCGTGATAATCGTCCAAAGAAATTATTTTTACCAAGCCTCGAAAGGAAGATGTTGCAATTTCAAAGAGAAACTATTTAAACTCAGACTATATAAATCATTAAAAACTTTCAACAGATCTTTCTTAAATTTTAAACTCACGAGATTCTACGTATAACCTGGAACAGCCCTCGAAGAAGATATCTCTTGGAACAAAGTCAACCTTCGGCTCATCTTCCCTAAGGTTCAAGCTTATACACCGTATCAATTCAAACGCAGCCCACGTCTATCCTCCCGTTCCATAGGTCGAGCAAATTAAAAATTACAAATTCACGACGATTCAACGACGAAGCGTCACGAATCGATCCTCTCGTCCGACGGGCGTTTCGTTTCGTTTGCCTTACCTCGACTGGTCCCTTCCATCCCCTGGAACCCGGCCAATTCTCTCAAAGCTGCTCGAATCGAAGGAAGACAACCGATCAAAAGAAACAACTGTTACTTTTTCTCGCTAAAAAAAGTGGAGAAAACTTAAATATCGAGAATCTTATCTCCAAATAATTCAATCGAATGCTTAATTCAAATTATTCGACTTATTAGAATACGATCTATTTAATCAAAAATAATTTCGAAAAAGCGAAGAATCAATCGATCCATCCAACCAAAAGAGGACGAGTACCATTCTCCTCGAAATCTTACCAAGAAAAAAATTCTCCCAAGAAAACGGCAATCCTTTGGTAAGAATAAAGACAGACTCTGACCATCCCTCGCTCGACAGTAAGATGGAAAGCCACCCTATTGTTTGCCAGATGAAGGACGAACTTCAGTGAGGGAATGCGTCGAAACCATAGCACACCATCCCTCTTTTTACGGTGGCAGCCATCGTCATAAAGTCAGTCGACCAAACGACGAGGTTTGTCGCTATCTAACCCCCACTCCCTTCCACCCCTCGTATCATTTCGCCCTCTTCCCACCCTCCCCAACACAACCCTCTCTGGTTGCAAACGAGGAAGCGCAGTCACACTCGCCTCTTCTCGAGAACGTGAAGAGATTCGAACGAAGGAAGGAGAAGGTTGGGGAAAAGGGATCGTGCCGTTCCATCTTTTACACGCTCGCTCGTGGATTCGCCCCACGATTTTCCAGCCTCCGTCGCCTTTGATGGGTGCACAGGTCGCGTTCCGGAGCCGGCTATTTCATTATTCTATCAGAGGTGGGGAGAGATGGAGGGAGACGACGCGTGAGCGAGGGGTGAACGTAGGGGTAGGTCGCGAGATTAAGCGGAACGTGAGATAAGTTTATTGATTTTTTACTTTATGTATCTTTTGGTATTATTATTTTTCCTCTTGCGATTTGTAATCTTTCTTACTTTTATTATAGGTGTTGGGTTATTATCGAAATTGAAAGATCTTCGATTTGTCTTATAATTTTACCTATTCATTCACTGATTATTTCCAACGAAATATTTTCGAAGCTTTTTCCCTCTGGAAACTCGTTAATCCATCGCTATTAAATTTTTCCATATAGCAATACGTGGTCATTCTCCATAAAAGAATAAATTTTTTTATTCAAATCTCAACTTGAAATATAATCATCGAAAGATTAATTTTCACGAACGAGTTATATCATATGAAATTGAAGTTTCAGAATCGCGTTAATAACGAACAGGATAAGCTGCCCGATTCTTATCGATATTCCCTTAAATAATCCTTAATAGCGACAATAAATTAATAAAAAAAAAAAAAAAAAAAAATCACCGATATCGTAAAATTCTTTTCATCCCGATCAACAAGCATCGCACGCGTCGCGTTCAAATGGGGGAGGAAAAAAAGGAGGAAAAAAATCACTCGCGGAAGAATGGAGAAAAAGGAATGTGATGAGAAGAATTGTTAGTATCAATTTTCTTCGGGCCAGGTGTTACGGAAAACGGGGATGGCCACGATAACATCCACCGCGTGACAATAGGCGTTACCGTGTTCCGGTGGGCAGCGGTGCCGATTTGCGGTGGGACTGGCAGCACGCTAAAACACCCCCATTGTCACAGAATCCGCGATCGATAATCCACGTAACGCAAGAGTTGCCATGCGGTCAAGCAAATCGTGGAAACACCTTAAATCCATTTTCGGGCACCGCGAATGTTAATCCAATCGTGGAAAAGGAAAATGATCGAAACGATAAATAAAGAAAGATTGATTGAAAGTATTTTATATATATCGATGATAAAATAATACTCTCCATTTCGTAATTCATCTTATTACGATTCCATAGTTAAAGTAATTTTTACAAAAATTAATCTATCATTTTCTTCTTTTTTTTTTTTTTTTCCATTGAAATAATATTTGTCACGTTTTTGTTTCGAGATTTTCGAAAGTAATCAAGTAATCAAGATAAGGAGATAAGAATTTTAGTAATAATAAAGGAAGGAATTAAATAACCCCTCTAATCGATTACGTTATTAATACATAAAGCGTGAGGATCCGAACCTTTCAGGTTTCTTTGAAGATTTTTCACTGACCCGGCACAACACACAAGGCCTCCCCTTCGACTTTTCTTCCAAGCCCTTTGTGCGCAACACCCCCCTCCCTCCTCGATGATCGACCGATCGTGAAATATCCTCCTGTTGCCACCTGATGGCGGAAAATCTCTCTAATGACGGCCTTCCAAGGGTTGTTCCTGACCTCCGCAATCCCATTCCAAACCCCTTAACACGCACACGTAAGTAGGAAAATAATTATTTACCAGATAAAACTTCGTTTACCGCGAATATTAGACCAGGCTGTAAATACAGTTCGTTTATTATTTAAAAAAAGGAAACTCGATTTTTCGCAAAAGGATTACGAAAAATTCACTTGATTGATTGTGGATAAATTTAGAAACAATTTTTCGAGCAATAATAATCGATAGATTGAATTTATTGCACGTTTTTAATTACAGTAATTACACTGTAATTACGTTTAAATGTAAATGGAGTGTGATAGCTCGTGAGATTTCATTCATTCATATATAAATTCTTCACTGTGCGAAAGAGGGAACGTAACGTTGGATTTATGCGAATTGTAAAATCCACATGCGCATAAAATTAGACGATATTTCCTAGGAAGAGACGTGATTTCCTTCCGTATGTATGTATGATACAATCTTCGTTTAAGTGGGACACGAAGATAGAAAAATGGGGTTAACTCGTATACCCGTATATATTTGACATGCTCGTTTGAACGTGGAATAGAAAATGAATCGAAGAGAAGGAATCTGGTAATGTAAATGCTCGCTCAATCTTTTTCTCTTTTTTTTTTTTTTTTTTTTTTTTTTATTACAATCTTATTAAATATTTGCCAAATTATAACTTTTCAAAGATTCGTGAAATAGAGAAGATCCAACCAGCTCTGATGAAACGCTCTTGAACACGAGGTCGAGACGATTACGGAAAGAGATAAAAATCATTTCCTGGTGAAGAGGGACAATAATGTTGCATAGCTCGGCGAGCAGTAACGATTTTCAATCTACTTGTTTCTTGTCTTCCGCAATCCGCATAAACAGGCCGCTCAAACCCGCTCAAACTCGTCGAAAGCTCGTTCGGGAAGGGAAAAACGAATTTAAATGCGATGTTGGCTCGTGAACGGCCAATTTCAACGGTTCCTCGGCAATTGTCACAAAGATGTTTCCTTCGTCTTTTCTCTATCGTTAGATATTAGATTTTATGGGGAGGAACAAATATGCTTATTGGAATTATTTTTTTTTTCCTTTGCATTTGATCGTTGGATGTTGTAAGGAGTTCGATTAATTTCGTTTATCTTTTTTATGATAGTTTTGTTACGTTAGTTTTACGAGTTTAAAATATACGAAAAATATACGAAAAATAGAGAAATGAGAGAAGAAAGGGAAGAATCAACAGCTTTGATCGCGAAGGAATAAGGTTTTATAAGATCTTGTTTAGTTACGTACCTGGTATCGATTTACCAAGATCCAGATACTCTCGTACCGATGGACTGAGGAATCCTGGAGGAACGACGGGTGCCTCGTTCGTGGGATTGTTTCTTTCATCCACGTCCTCGTAATAATAGTCCTCGTTGTCACGGTTGTCGCGGTTGTCCTCGGTATCAGGGTCTATTGGCCTCGCCCTCTTCGACACTTTACCACTTCCGGTATTTCGTACACCCTCTGGAACGAGAGTGATATTTCAAAATTAAGAAAATTGTTCAAAAATTATGGAACTTGCTTAATAATTATTTGATCGATCAATGCAATTTAATCTAAATCAATCAGGATTAAATAAAAATCCAAATTTCTTCAATTAATATCTTCAATCTTCGTTTAAAGTTTCCAATATACCATTGATAAAATCATTATGGGCCAATTTTATTCTCTTCCAATTCTATTAAAATTAGAAAAATTTTGAGTCTCTATTAACTCCGAAAATAGTAACTTCCGGTGGACGATTGTTAGAAGCGCGGATTCTTGCTCTTTAAAACGCTTTTTTATTTATCTCGATACGACTTCCGGTTCCCAAAATATCATCATATAAAGGAAAGGATAATTTTTAATTCTTCATCTCAAATCCACTTAAACTCCATTAAAATTAGGAAAACTTTGAATCGCTATAACTCCGAAGATAATAACTTCCGGTCGACGAATCAACGATCGTTAGAAGCGCGGATTCTTGCTCTTTAAAACGCTTTTTTGTTTTTCTCGATACTACTTCCGGTTTCCAAAATATCATCGTGGAAAGAAAAGGATAATTTTTAATTCTTCGTCTAAAACCCACTTAAACTCTATTAAAATTAGAAAAACTTTGAACCGCTATAACTCCGAAGATAATAACTTCCGGTCGACGAATCAACGATCGTTAGAAGCGCGTATTCTTCCCCTTTAAAATGCTTTTTCGTTTATCTCGATACGACTTCCGGTTGCCGAGATATCGTCGTGTAAAGAAAAAGGTAATTTTTAATCGTTTACTATCTTCGTCCTTGTCCCTTATTCGGACCTTTCGCTCGCACCCCGTCTCACTGACCTATCTCAAATTCCAGACAAGCGGCCAGACGCGATTCCTAGAAGGACGTAATACGCGTTTCCAAGAAAAATAAATAGGTCATTGACCCGTTCATAGTCTCTGCACCGTGCCAAACGCTATGGACACTTTGAATCTTTATATCTCGGCAACCGATTGAGATATCGGGATGAATCAAAAAGCGATTTCAATGGCACGGTTTCCTCTATTTTCTCAATAGATTTTGATGACAAATTGTTCAATTTCTTTTCACGTTTTTTATATGAAAAGTTTCCAAGTTTCATTTTCACACGATTTTGCGGGAATGCAACGGATTCTGTTGCTACAATATAAAGATATAATATAATATATTTTTATTTATACTTGAATAATTGAACAAATATTTCAACTATATAAAAATTCGCAATGCTCCTATATTCTAAATGTATTATTTTAACGTATTCGTCCGCACAATCTCCAATCAATCGAAAATATTAATCATCTCTGTTCAAATTCCAAAAAGAAAAACAACACCAAACTTTTCCACCCTTAACTTGGAATCGAAGATCTCCGAATGGCATCCCCCAGGTCTTTCTCGTTTTCCTCTATATCTCGTTCCCCCGGACTTGACCCAGTCTCGCCGCCAACGAGCGAAAATAAAACGAACGAAAAGAGGGAAGCGGAGAAGTCGGCCATAATTCAACATACGTCCCTGTTCTCAAAGTTTCCCTCGGACAAAGGTGGGGCGTCCATTGTCCGAGGGAACGAGAAAGAGACACGGACAGAAGGGGATAGCAGGATGGTTAAAGTTTCCACGATTATCACTACCGGACACAATTTCGTAGGTCCCGTTGATGGTTATTCAACGACGAGATTTCCATCCTTTCGATCGAGAGCGCGGCGAAAACACACATCGAAAGTCTGTGCGAGCTAATTAATTTCAGCCTCGCGTATACACGCGAATTGTCGTTAAACATTTCGTAACGTCGGGCTACTGGCCGGTGATTGAGCAAAACGGGTGGGTAGCAGTGCATTTCCCCTCCGGTGAAATATTCAAAATTCCAAAATCGTTAGGAAAGGGTGCGTACCGTGTGCGTACACGCCGCCTCGATCGATTCATCTCGCGATTTTATCCCACAGAGTACGGATCGAGTCGAGTTTTAATAATCGGGAGAAAATTAAACGTAGCCTCTGGTAGAGCACGAGGGATGATTAAAGATGCGTCTATCGCCGTTTTAAAATTACTGTGCATCTCTCTCTCTCTCTCTCTCTCTCTC